CTTTTAGCAGAAGTGTACTAGCTAAAAAGAAAGTCACAGTTCTTGTCTCCTGATCTCACTCAAAGAATTTGACTGAAGTAATTTTTTAAGAGAAATCTTCATGGAAAGCATGTAGGAACTAGAACTAAGAGAACGTGCTTTCAGGAGTTCCTCTCCTGTATCTATTTGTAATAATGGACATAAATAAGTGAAGCCAAATCTGAGAGTCTGGCCTTGCATAAGAAGCACAGCATTCAGAAAGGTCATTCTAACAGATCTAATTTAGGGAAAGGAATTCTACATAGCATCTAATCTAGCTGCTAATAATATTTTTTGCTTTAATTTGTTTTACATGCATGGATTTTCCCTAGGGACCTACAATCTAAAGAAAGCTTCTAGAGTTTTTGTTATTGAAAGGTAGTCAAAGAGATGCTATGTTGGAAGTTAGTTTCTTTTTCTGTAATTTTCAGCCTTTTCTGTTGAACTGAGAATTCAAGCTTTCTTTATTCTCAAAATACGGTCCTTCACTCGGCAGAGATTTTCAAAATTATTGCACTGACCTTAGAATTGCCTCTGAGTATTACAACCACTGTCAATGTATGGTTTTGATAAAGGTTAATGACATTTCCCAAGCCTATATAATTTTTTAAATATAAATAATCTAATATTTATATTAAAATACTACTACCAATCCAGTATGCTGTATGGAAATAGGTCATCCTTAATTTATACTTAGGAATTATCCCCAAAACTCATCAATAGTGGTTATCTTCTGCCGGAAAGGACCAGGATGTGATAGAGATTAAAGGAGGCTTTTATTTTTCTCTTTCTATACCGATGGCATTTATCATGTACAAATACTGTTTCAAACTTTTTTCCCAGTAATACCCTAAAGTTGCACCTTAAGTGCCCAGCTTAAGCAACCACTTAGTTTTTAAACTCCCAAGAAATATTTATTAAAATGATGAATACTTAAATCTTCCCAAACATAGATCCAGATGTTCTAGATCTTTCAATCTTATAGTACATATTTGACTGTAGAGATGAGTTTCTTAACTCTTTCAGTTGGAATGCCTACATATTGCTTCCTATTTCTGAAATTGCTCCAAAGATTAAATACTAAACAAAATGATTTTATTTTAACAACTATATAATAATTATAAAATACTACACTGTGGTGTTAACCTCTATGCTAAGTATTAGCTCAAATCTCAATATGTGAATAAACTAATAATCTCAATGACATATCAAGATTGGAAATCACACACTAAATCATAGCCTTAAAAACAAATAAGTAAACAAATACCTCTTTTCATGTAACCAATAAGCTGGCTATAATGAAAAATTAACCAAGAAAGTTCCCTCTGACTTTTTACTTGTACAGAAACTAAAGAACAACTTGTTTGTTATAAATTCAATCCACTCAATTCCAAAAACATTTGTGCTTCAGTACCTGTGGCTGGGTTGATACTGGCTGCAATGTGAAAGTGGCAGAGTGCATTGGCATGCAGTGAAGTGTTCCTGTGGACATGATGAGGATCCTGATGGTGTGGCATGTATCCCGTATGTGCTACAAGGGCAAGTGATCTCCTCCGGCCTCTACGAAAATGTCTCAGATTTACCTGTGTGAATAAAAACAAGGTAAAAATAAAGTCTATATTGTCACAAACATGTATGGATAGGTTATATAATGAATGTTAGTCATTACACATCCTATTTCAGATGAGTTTATATGTACAAATATCTTTCAGCACTTTTGTACAGCATGTTTAAAACAGAAAGAATAAGCTCGGTACTTGAACTGTATGACTCTTAACCATCCAACAAGGCTTTGACATTTTTATTTAATTTTCTTATAACTTTCTCAACTTAAAAGTTTACAATAATGTGCCTATGGATAATGATGTCTGTGTATACCATTCTCTTAGTATCCACAGTTTATTCCCTATGGCCACAAGGCATTAAGTAATTACCTTCACATATCATATTTCATAATTTGCAAAGCACTTTCAGAGACCATCTCATTTGACCCATAACAGTGCAAATACTGTTTTTTTCATCTTTCAAATGATAATATAGTTTACAGAGAACTCAAGGTCACCTAAAAGCAGAAAGAGAGTTTTCAAATTCCTAGTCACAGACTTCATTCAGCTAATAGTATATACATAAGCACTCTATTGGTCACTGAGTCTCCTTGCAATATGTATTTAATTACATTCTGAGCCATTAGAAAAACAGCTGTTCCATAATCATACAAAGAATTCAAGACAAATCATTTTTTGGTCACTTCCTGTTTTCAATAGCAAGAAAAAAATAAGAAGAATTTGTATTATTAGTCTATGTTCAATTGGTCTAAACATCAAAAACTGTCTTTACTTCCACACTAATTAGTAAAATAAGTTCTGTGGAGATTCTAAAAACAGAAATACATCTGGTAAACTGTAGAAAAGAATCTGATAATTATGACAGTATAAACACCCGACGCCCAAATAAAAAACTAACTTATTTTTACAGTCAAATCCTTGCATTCTCAGATTTTAATTTGCTTTATGTTATTTAGCTAAGTCGGTGTAATGATCCCTTCATCAATTAACCTAATCCGAACTATATTGAAAATTTTTCTGAGAACTGTTTCTTAACAAACATATTTTTTCACTACTACATATGACTTTGAATGTTAATTAGAATGAATGTTACAAAAAAGCTCATGTTTTATAACTTGCAGAAAAAGACATCTAACAAAAACACTCACATCTAAAGCATTTTGAACTCGTTCTTTACTGGAAGCATTTCTCTTGAAGTTATTTGTTAAATTAATTGGTTCAGTCCAATGGTTGCAGTCACCTCCATATAGCAAGCAATCATTTGGTAAAAATGTCTCTACCCAAAGACGACATACGTTATCTTTGCAGCAAGTCAACAGTACATTACATACAGAAGCCCTAAGAGATAAAATGATTTTAGAGACAGAAATAAAATTTCACAACGTATCACATTTTACAGTGTTTCAATAATTATTAAAATGCATACAACTAAGATACTACTGAAGAAAATGTCAATATACATTTATGTGACATTTAGTCAAAACCATTACAATTGAGTATTTGATTTCATCACAGCAAATGCTTGCTAACCTATTTCTTTTCTGGCAGCCTAGAATTCAGTAGTTCTCTTTTCAACAATCTAAGATTCTTCTTACATCTAAAAAACAAAGACAGATCATGCCATAATCCTTCAGTTAATAAGAAAAAAACGTACACCTATTAAAGTTTTCGGATTTATTCAGTGGATGGTTATTCGAATTATTTCATAAAGTTTCATTTTGGCTTCCTGTAAAGGTATATGCACACTGGTCACTAACAAGCTACAGTAACTATTTAGTAGACTTATTCTCTCAATGCCTAATATATGCCAAAAGCAGTGAAGTACAAGAATAGAAAGTCCATGAAAAAATAAATACTAGTTACCTCCTTCCCTGGTCATTCTTGACTTTTAGTGAATTTACTGACTTACCACCCAGAAAAATAAAAGCAAAATCAATTATGTATGTGTTAGTAACCCCAAGAGCATCAAGAAGTCAAAGGCTGAAACCCTATCAACAAAGACTACCTTCTATCAGATAACTCAGCAAATTTAGAAGAAAAAAAAAAAGTTACAATATCCAGTAGTAGACACTTTTTTAAAAAAGTAGACACATATTTTAAAAAAGAACATAAGTTTCTATAAAGTAATTCAGTAAATTTAAAAAATCAAAATATTCTATAGTAGTCAACATATGTTTGTTAAATCTATCCACCTAATTAAAAAGAACAAAGGGAAAGAAAAGGGAGAACAGAAAGCTTCCTCTTGGTCGTGTTCCATTTCAGCTTCCCTCCTCTGCTCTCTACCCCGCCCTCCCTCCCTCCCTCACCTTGGTGTCTACTCCCTGCCTTTGTTCCCTTTCCACCCAACTCTCTGGCCTTCTCTCTGCCCCACATTTCTCTGTTTCTCAGCTTCTGCAGACCACTCTCCCTTTCCACCTCTCCCCCCTTCCTAGGGTCCCTCCTTCTTTCCTTTCCAAACCCTGTTTCTCTCTCCTTTCCCCATTCTCATGCTTCTCCCTCACTCCTCCTCCTCCATTTTTTCCCCTCTTATTTCTCTATCCCCCTCTGACCTTCTCCTGTCCTCCTTCTCTCTTAATTTCTGTCTAGTACATTCACATACACACAGGCAGTGGCAGTGAGATTAAAAGTTAGCAAACAGAAACATAAGAAAACACATCAAAAAGGCAACATGAAAAGTTTGAAGTTCATAGTGCCGATTGGTACTGGCAGAATGGGAAGGCTTATGAAGGAAGGGCAGAGGGTAGGAGCTAATGGGCTGAACAGACACAATCAGAAGAGGCATAAGAACTTAGGTAAAAGTAACAAAGCAAGCGAGAAAATTGCACATCTCTGAAACATGAAGAAGACCCAGGAGTATGGGTGACACCAGGTGATTCCCTGTAGGATAGGCCTTATAGATATTCAGTGTAAATAGCTGGCAGGTAGTATCAGCAGGGCATGAAAGAAATAACCTGATCCATCTGAGGCATTTCTATGGCAATAGTGCCCTTCCTCACTTCTTCACTTAGAGTATCTTTTTCTTTTTTCAATGGCATGTCATATTCAGGTATAGTCAAAAAGAAAAAGGTATAACTTTATAGAAGGCACACATGTGATAAAGTGTCTGCAATACCAGTCCTATTGTGATGTAATAACAGACTAAGATGGTTTTAAAACTAGTTATCTAGAACCAACTTTTGGAAGATTTTGGAGGATATAATTAAACTCCCTGCCTGTCTAACATTTCATCAATTTTTAAGCAGCAAAAAAGTATATGCTTATTACAAACACTGCCCCATTCTTTCTCAAAGCCAGCAGTCCAGCAGTCCCCTTGCATAAACTATTACCATTTGCTTGAGCATCTTAATTTCATGTGAAAGACAAAGCACTTGTATCACCCAGTAAAGATGCCATATTAGAAAGAACAATGGATTTTGATGAATCTCTCCCATCAGAGAGTCAGCCTTCCCACTCTACACCTGCCAGCTCTTGGTGAAAAAAACTGAAAACTGTAAGAGCTCAGGGAGATTAGCTGGTTCCTAAATGACATGGATCCAAACAGGAAATTCTGGAAAGACTGAAATTCCCTAAAAGATACCGTAACAGAAAATTCGAGTTCTATATCACAATGTGCTAATCTGTAGAATTTAGCTGATGAAAGATAAAATGAACATAGGCAGAAAAAAACCTGGTATGTCTTATTGCTGTCATCAGACATTTGTTATGGCCTGGTTTAAGGCAGCTGCCTCTGCCTCCACTGTGATCACATTTGCTAGCACTGAGGGAACTAGGTCAGGAGCAGACGTGTATTTCAAAAGATGCAATACTTCAGAACCCTCTTTTTAAATATTATGCTGGTCTAATCCAGTGCAACTGAAAACACCTGGAAATCAACCTCTGAAATGATATAATCTTCAGATCTAAATGGTTCACAGTTTGGGATGACAGCTATTTTTATTGGGGCCATTTACAATATTTAAAAGGAAGGTTTTATGTCACAGCTCATTCTATTCTAAATACATTTTTATGTGTGTGGACAATGGTCTCAGAGGTACTAGAGCAATAGTTCTCAAAGTGAACCTGTGTGAAGGTTCTTTTTTTGGGGTAAAAGGTTTTATTATCCAGTTTGTTCTCCCAGGGATAGGTTGAGCTCTAGAATTACATCTGCATCCAATAGTCCGCAGGTCTGTAATCGTTTTTTTTTTTTTTTTGANAAGTCTAATTCTCAACAGTCTCCAATTTTCTGAAGCATAATGAACAAGTTCTTACATGGTGAAGTGCAAGGGCAGTCATATCACAGAAACTTTCGGTTTTGATCACGCATCATGAACTATAAACAATCAAGTCAGATATGATTTGATTTTTATACTTGATTTATATGTGAATCCCACATTTCTCCCTTGTTTTTTTTTAATAAAATGCTGAAGTGGTAGTTAGATGCAAGATAAAGGTAGAAAACATAATTTAGTGCCATAAGAGGGCAAATGTAGATGATCGTGTGTGAAGGTTCTTTTGCCAACAATATAGACTGTCCACACTACTTTCCCTTAGCCCAAAGACTGACTCATCCTCCTAACAATAGACTCATTCCTGTTCCTAGAGAATCCTATTCCTATGCTTTACTAGACTGGAGGGCTGGGGTAGGAAGAACAGAAATAACTACACTAGAAAGTAACTAAAAATCTAGGTATAACAATGACAGATACAAGTTATTATACATTTGTACAAACCCACAGACTGTACAAAGCCAAGAGGGAACTGTAAACTATGGACATTAGGTGGTAAAGATATGTTGATGTAGGTTCATGAATTGTAACAAAGTTAACAACATTTTGATCAGGGATGTTGATAATGGGTAAGGCTGTGCCTGTGGGAGGGAAAAAGGGGATATGGGAAATCTCTGTTCCTTCTCAATTTTGCCGTGAACCTTAAACTGCTCTAAAAAGCCCAGTCTTAATATAAAAAAATTTTTTTCTTAATCTCGGTATATTCTGCTGGCTCAGAGAACAAAACTGAAGTCAACAAATGATCCAGGTATATTACCAAAGATCAGTTTAGAACATCTCAGATGACAAAAGGTAAGGAACAAACTGTATTGCTCCAAGCTAGGCCAAATTGAAAATGGTCTCTATAACTTACTAAATATAGACAAAAATTCAATGGGATATCAAATCTTGCAAGGACAACAGGTAAGAAAGGAAATATTAACAGGTGTGCTTGTGCATGCACGTGGAGGTTGAACAAATACCAACTTCAGAGTATTATAATGTATTAACCCCACTCCCTTTTCCTCAAAGATGTTGGATACAGTTAAAGAAATGTTTGAGGTCTCATGGTACGTCCTCTCAATAAAGCTGTTTTGGTATTCTTAAAAGGAAAGCAGAGGAGATACACATAGAATGTGCAAGATGAGGGAGTGAAATGTGAAGAAGTCCATGCAAATGGCAATATGGAGAATGACTGAGATGAAAGAATTGGATACAAAATACAGAGAAGAAAAAGATGTACAACTCTTTCACTTAAAAACATCTGCTCTGGAGGTAAATTATTCTTTCATATGGCTCTCCTCTTGTCAATCATAGTTGACCCATGGCCAGAGGTCTGCAGAACAAGGACTAGCTAATATTACTTGAATCTTCATAGGTAAAAGACCTGTGTCTATGGGTTCTCAAAAAGTAAAGACAGTTAAAGTCACAAAGATGATATTTTCTTAATACATGGAAAAAATGACCAATCTACTGACCTAGGCATGTATTTGCTTGTTTTACGCCAGGAAAATCCATTTACAGCTCGAGGATGGGCCAGATATACAAAAGAAAAGTCAATTTCTCCTTGGGATTGTTTTTCTGAACTTGTATCTGGAGAGGTAACAGCTGTCCGCCAATTTTCTATATTATACCATACCTTTAAAAGACAGTCATCCTAAGAAAGAAAAACAAAACAAAAATATCCAGATCAGAATTAATTAAAGGTTAGTAAGTCAAATAGCATACATAAGATTTTTTTCCCCATTACAGGAGCTTAGGGATGGGAGAAGGAGCTGGGCATGGAGAAACTGAGAAGAAAACCTCTGATTCTCGTACTTTTCTCTTAGTATTATTTAACTGTGATTTGAGAACGAAGGTGTGTGAATATGTGTATTTTGAAAGGATAAGGAAAATCTTAGTTACTAAGTAGTACAGAAAATGGAGTCATTCAGGAAAGAAACATGAAGTTAAGGGTTTCTTTTTTACCACTTAGCTGTGTATCAGTAAGAAAGCACTACCACTAGCAGACTTACAAAAATAGCTCATTTTTAAAAACACAGGACAGTTTTCAGGAATATGAGCATTCAAAGAAAATGTTGAGAATGATAATAACTAGTTAACAGCTACTATTATATAAAATATTTTAAGTATAATCAAAATTGCATCTCCTAATTTGGTAAGTAAAGGATGAACAAGGGAAACCAGAATGCACCATGTTTTGCTCTTAGACTATAACCTCATTGCCACCCGCAAAGTCAGTCAAATAAACAACTCCACTTCTCTCCTAAAAAAGCATCACTGAGGATTTAGGTATCTCACATTCTTAGTCTGCAGAAGGCTCTGAGCCTTGGGAATAATTTCAGACTATTAATTATGTATAAACCACTCTGGGAACCAATGATTCAACAAAATAATTTGAAAGAAATACATTTTTCTAAAGTCAACAGGTAATAACAAAGAAAATTATTATAAATGTCATTCTAGGAAGTCTGTAAATTCTTATATTTGCTTAGAGAGATTAATTACTCACCCAAGATCAAAAAAATTGGTAAATGGCAGATTTATACCCAGATCTACATTTAAGCCTATGGTGTTTCAATTCTACCATACTGTCCTTCAACACAATAAGTTAGCCAATTTTTTGCTATTTAACATTTTTAATAGAAAACATTTTCAACTTAAATAAATAAAAGAAAGAAGCCGGTTAATGCTTTTGAATTTTCAGGAAGAAACCATATATACAATTCGGCAATAGCATGTTCACAAATTACCTTCCCAGCAGTGGCAAAAAATTCTCCATCTGGTGAAAATTTCATTAAATGAACTTGGGAAGCAGTCCTGTAAATTGAACAGATAAGGAATAATTTTCAAAGCAAATTAAATGACAGAGAAAGTGGTATTACTTCTCTAACCTGTATTCAGAAATTTGTTTCAAATAGAAAATTTTGTGACATGTTTTACACTAACTTTTAAACATATCTCATAATATACAATAAATAGAAAAATATTAATTACATATAATTTTGTAATGTAAAAATATCCATGCATAAGATTCCTGCAAGGAATGACCTGTCAGTCTTTAATGCTTAAAATGGAGGAGCTATAGCTCACATTCCCTGAGGATGTGAAAGAAAAAGGTTTCATTTTTTTATTCTGGAAATCTGATTTCCAGAGCCCTAGATATCTTATGCAAGGAATGACCTGTCAGTCTTTAATGCTTAAAATGGAGGAGCTATAGCTCACATTCCCTGAGGATGTGAAAGAAAAAGGTTTCATTTTTTTATTCTGGAAATCTGATTTCCAGAGCCCTAGATATCTTTATTCCAAAATGCATTTTCATTAAATCAATATTTTTAAATGAGTGCTACTTTAAGCATTTGCCCAATTTATGTGTGGGTTAATGGTGGCCTTGCAACCATCATAGATTCAGCCTGCCAGCTTCTCCTATATACTTGGTGCACACTTGCCTTTTCTTCTCTGTGGAGCTTTGGCTCATTTTCCTTCATCACCTTCCCTTCTAGCTACCCTTAAATGCTGGTCTTAAGAAACCCCTTACCATTGCTTTCCTTTTCTTTACCCAAGTTCATACTTATGAATGAAACTAAATTTATTTGTAAAGCAGGCCAAAGAAGAATTGTGTCACAGATCATTTCAAACACAAATAACATTTTTTCTTGATTTCAAGTATAATAAGTACGTAACAGAAAATGTTGATGTAGAGGTATGAAAAGAAAAAAATGAAATGATCTATAGTTTCACCAATATCACAATCACACCCACTGCCAGGCAAAAGCACTGTTAACATTTTAAAACACAGACTTCCAAATCCTTCTCTCCACCCTCCCTATATAGTTTCTGTGGGACAGTGTTAAGGGAGGGAGATGGAAACTAAGGTCATATTTACAATTTGCTTTGTACTAAAGATTTGAAAAGATATCATGAACATGTTTACATATCAATATGTATAGATGTGCATTATTTCATTGGCTTAAATTATTCCATGACACATATATGCAATGGGTGACAATAATTCACTCTAGTTTTTTCAGTTTTGCTGCTACAAAAAAAAAAGTGGTGCAATGAACATTCTCGCACATGCATTTTCATACATCTAATTAATCCTAAGGATATCCTTAATACAAATTATTAAAAGTGCCTTTCTTCATATTTGTGACCCTGTTTCCCCTATGGTCTTCTCAAAACAACAGCAACAGCAGTCCTTTTAAAAGGGAATCAGAAATTCAGCAAAGTTGCAGGATACACAATTAATACAGAAATCTGTTGCATTCCTATATACTAACAATAAACTAACAGAGAAATCAGGGAAACAACTCCATCTACAATTACATCAAAAAGAATAAAATACCTAGGAATAAACCTAACCAAGGAGGTGAAATATTTTTTATGTCAATGTGGTTTTACAAAAAACTAAAATGCATTTAAATATAACAAAACCACATGGAACAGCTTTATCAGTTTAATCCCTAATTAACTGCTTACTTGCAATGCCAAATGCATCTCCAATCCCCAAAGTTAAGATCCGTTTTATGTGGATTTTCATCTTCAGTTGGCTTTTCCAAGTAAACATTGGACCAGAGTTGCAAACAGCTAGAACCAGTTAAAAGACGGTTGCCTAAAAAATATATAGATCATTCACCATTTATTATTTAGGTAGTGAGTTAAGTTACATGCTGAAAAGTTTCACATAATACTACAAAGATAATACAACTTCCCAAAAAAAGTCAAATAACAAAAAAGAGATTGGGAAAGGGAGAATAAGGCTGTATTTTAATTCTGTATAAACAACTTCAGGAAAAAAAGGCAGATCTTACAATCTCTCATCCAACAAACTTTTAATGAACATCATCTTTGTGTGAGGCACCAGGGATACAATGACATATGAAGCACTGTCCTTTTTCATGATAAATTCTTACGCCAGGAGAGAAATTTATGAACAGAGGCATGAAGGCATGTAAGTTTAATATATTCCCAAGAATGCCTCACACTCTGATGTGGTTAAGGAATAAGTATACAGTAAACCTAGAAAAAGAAATATGGTTAGAAAAACTCTGCAGTCAGATTGTGAAGCATTTTTGAAGTTCATAAGGAATTGGGAGTTAAACATTTTTGAGGGGATGGGAGTGTTACATCAGGAAATCTGTTTTTAGAACAAGGGGTTTTAACTTGGGGTGGCATGTCAACAGTTGGACTTGAAGAAGCCTGTAAACTTTTCTCCATTGAGACAATGTGCAAAAGTTTTATGTATATTATGTGCATTTTTCTACAGAGATAATCCATAATGTTTACCATACTTTCAAAGACTCTAGTATACAGTGAATGGTAAACATTCTTTTCAGAAAATAACTCTAGAGATAGCCACAATTAGGGAAAACATAATTCACAGAGAAACCTGGTTAACTTACTTATAAAAATACACATGGGAAATCATGGGGATCTGGATCAAATTCTAAAGAAGCAAGAATTTGAAACCTATTTCAAAAAGCAGACTTTTCAAGGTTCGACATTAACTAAAAAAACAGGGAGACACAAGAGGTTTCAAGGGACAGATTCCAACTTTATTACTTGGGTAATTGAGTAGAAGACTGTGCTATCCATCCAAAGAAGGTAACAGAGGACACACAGTTTTGGTCAAAAGCTAACAATATAAGGCATGTACCTTGGGAGTTAAGGACTACGGATTTGTGTCTCTCTAGAAAGATCATTATTTCAGAAGAAAAGTGGGTCTGTGGTAAAAACAAAGACTTCAGATCCGAAATCCAAGTCTAAAACCCAAGTAAGTCACTTAACTAACCACATGAATTTGATCTAGTTTGGCAATCTCTGAGACTCAATTTTCTCATCTATGAATTTATAAATTTGTATAGAGATGTTGTAAGGATTAGCTATGATATTTTTAACATATCCAGCATACTCTAGGCACTTAGGCAGAAGCTCAATAAACAGTAGCAACTACGGGGAAAGCTTCACACACAGTTAAAACAGCCAAGAAGTACTAATGAGGTATTTCATTTAAATACGGTTACTATTCCACTGTTCAGCTTACCAACAGACACTGGTTTCTTTTTTGAGATATAATTGACATATACTATTATATTAATTCAGGTGTACAACATATTGATTAGATATTTGTATAAATTGCGACATGATCAGTTCAATAAGTTCAGTTAAAATGCATCACCATCCAGTTACAATTTTTTTTTCTTTTGATGAGAACTTTGAAGATCTCTTTTAGCAACTTTCAAATACACAATACAGTACTATTAACTATAGTCACCATGCTGTACATTATATAACCAGGACTTTTTATTTTATAACTGGAAATTTGTATCTTTTGACCACTTTCACCTGTTTCATTCCCACCCCACTTCCCACTTCTGGCCACTACCAATCTGTTCTCTGTAAATATTAATTCAGTTTTTGTAACCTTTCTTTTCTATAACATAAACTTAAGATAAAATTAAGATATCCCATGAAGGATTAAAAAATTAATATAGAATACAAAATAATCCTAGTTAGAATGAAACACAAGTAGTTAAGGTATGGCATTACATTTTGATTTAGCACAAAGGGCAGAGTTATGGATATTAAAGCAAGAAAAAGAGCATGAAAATTCTAAAACAAAATCTTATGATTTAAGCAAGATGCTACAGTGGATTTGGAGACAACACAAAAGCACTCCAGTTTACTAACACCAGCTGAAAATACCTGTATTGTGTGCCAATACCTGGTATATAATAAAAAGTAAATATTAATCAAAACTAAATTACTAACATGTCACTTAAAATACTTACAATCTGTTTATAAATAATCACAAAGTTCATCTGGAAAAGTAATAATACACTAATACTCCCAAATATTTATTACAGTTGTAATCTATTTCTCAACCAAACCATTACATTTTAAACTTTTCAATTACTATAAGAAAAACAATAAACTTTTATATAAATTTCAGCTCAATCATGGTTAAAAAGATAATGGGCATGAGCTGTTGTCAAGTCACTACTAGATATGTTTAGAAAACTCTTTGAACACTGCTCTGTAATGATGATTTTAGAGGAATTTAACATTAATACTATCTTCTGAAGCATTAGTACTAAGAGACCACAGATACAAAAATTCCAAGCTACTACTATGTCATTACTACAGAAATATCACTCAATTCAAATTTAAATGTTTTTATTATAGTTATTAATATGACACTTGAAGCAGCCTGTTCACTAATATTTTTATAGAACTCTATCATTCACCACCAAGTACTTTCATTTACACTGCCATATGTAATCATTAAAAAACTATCTTGTGAAACAGACATGAATTTACAAGTGAGTTAACCATTCTTGATCTATTAAGTAATCTGTTCATGATCATAAAATTTGTAGTCAAATATGTAAACATTTTTTGAGAGCCTGATATATGATGTGCTTCTAAATATAAGTAAAATACTAAATGAAAAAGAATCTCAGCCTGGTCTAATAAAAAAATTACTCATATAAACAAATGATTACAATAGTTTGCAATGCTATAATAACCACATAATTTATAATCCAAACAGGAACACTTGGGATAGAAGGTGATATTATTAATAATCATATGAGGACAACAGGCATAAATGGGGACATAAGAAACCCTATCTACAGTAGAGTTACAAAGTGCTGTATTAATGTCAAATTTGAACTCAGGTCTGACCCATTTTTACTGCTTGCATAAAATATACCTTTAGGTCACCAGCTAGTAAGCATCAGTCTTACAATCTCATAGGAAGAAATATTTTTAAACAGTGTGATTTTTTTCTTTTTTAAATCTCAAAGATAATCTTTTTCCTAAATTTTGAAAAGTTCTGTACTTGTATTTTAAATTAACATTCTTTCTCAGCCATTTCACCTATTATATTAAAATTTGAACTATCTCATCTGCCTAAACTCATGACTTCTACTTCTATGCTCCAAAGAGAACTTCTTTCTTATATTCTAGAAATTTCTAGTTTGGATACTGCTATTTGATATCAAGCACCTCAAATTCTCCATATCCAAACAAAACCTTTGGGCTGGTTTTTAATGCAGAAACAGGTAACTGATATATACAGACATTATCTCTTCTTAGAATCTACTTTTTCTCCCCTCGTCCATCTATTCCCAGTCTCATTTAAAAAAATCTCTCTGCTCTCAGGTCAAAGATCCTTCCTCTTCAATGAAATTTTGATTCCCCAGAGAAAACTAATGTCACCTTCCCAAAACAACAGATTTTCCTAGTATCATTGGACACATATTACAGTGCATCTTCATTTCACTATTAGCTCTAAAAAAGCACAATCTGTTTTTTATTTACTTCTGTGTTCTCTACAATCTTATGCAAAGTAGAACTGAAATACATGAAATTAATAAAGGCAACAGCTTAGGTAAGCAATATTCCATTTCAGTTAATCCTACCTGCATTCTTACCTGCAGGATCCCAAGTTATATTGTGTGCTATTGATTCCAGAAGAAATTGGCCACTTTTCTGCCACTGGCTATATAATTCCTAAAAAAAGACATTAAGCCAATTATTATTAGTATCTTTTCTATGTCAACTGTATACATTCATTCTTATTATTCTTAGTAATACATAAAGTGATTTTCTTGGAGGTATAATTGACCATGCAGTTATTTTTAAGGAGAACAAATTCAGTTCAATTCAGTCAAGAATAATAAGAATTATGTGATGGAGGAGATCAGTGAGAGGATATTTAGGTCCAAAGGTCTGTCTTTGGTATATTTAAAAAACCAGTAAGTATATGCTGACTTAGACAATAAACACATTAACCTCAAAATCTTAAAATTATAATAATTATTATTATAGTTAATAAAGTTTTACTTTTAAATACGTCTGTTTCTCTGATATTTGAGGCTTTCTTCTCTTTGAATGTTTCATCCCCATTATGAGATCATATGGTATATATGAAAATTCAGAATAAGAGATGTAACAAATCCATTATATTATATAGCTTAGTCTTTTCATTCTGTAAAGCACTATTTTTCAAACTTTTTTACCTGCAAAGCAGTAAGAAATGTATGCTGCACTGTGACCCAAAACATGTATACATATACATATAAATGCAATCTAAGTTTATCCTTAGTACATGTGATGCACTCAAACGTTTTCTATTCTGTTTTACTTTTAAATTCAGGTTATGGCCTAACTTACTTTACTAACCTCTAGTAGATGGAGACCCATAAACAAACTTTCTGTTAAGGTAGTGGTTCTCACACTTTAGCACAAGAATAGTCTCAGACATTTATTAAAAATACAAATTTCTGAGACCCATGCCTAAAGGTTCAGGTTCAGAAGGTCCAGGACAGGACACAAGATCTATACTTTAAACCAGTATCACAAATGAATTTTGATAGAGGTGGCCTAAAGAATATGCCTTTATTAAACAAGCCTTGCAGGAAGAGCCCCCAATCACAGTACACATCAGAACTCTCATTAGAAATAGACTTAAATACCTAAACATAATCCCATACTTACAGATTTAGAATACTCGGGGCAGTATCTGGACACATGCACAAGTAGTAATTCTAAAGCATACATCCCATGAAGAACCACCATCATAAAGAATATTCCAGAATGTACAAAGAAAGGGAAGTAATATATATTTTTATGAGGATCTAAAGATTATCTGAGACTATATCCTGGAATTACAGATTTTTGTGTACCTTACAAGTCTACAATTTTTCCATTAGATTCAGTTTTCACCTTATTCATCAAGCTTTTTTTTAACCTTCTCTGCAAAGTCAGTGCCACCTACCAATAAACCAGCCTATTTTGAATTTTTAACACTATCGTATTAAACATTTTAGTTCAAAAAAAAATGGGCAAAAATGAATTTCTCAATTTCACCCTTACTAATTAAAGGCATTTTAACAAAACATACTGATTTTTTAAGTCAATTATTTCATTCAACTAATAGTTCTTATTATTTCAAATGTATTATTCTGGGTGGAGTGACCACCTTTAGAATTTATTTTCAGTACTGCCAATTACTGTAAGAACCTCTCCACTGGATTCAAAGGTAGCATATAAACACAAATAGAAATCAGGGGAGAATTGTTGACTCTCCTTCCATGAAATTTAAAAATGGGAATCAACTAACCAGAGGAAATATTTTTTTTACTAGCACAAAATGGGGAAAAGAATGCTCACTCATAGAAATCAATACAGCTGATTTTACTTCTAATTTTATAGCTCAAAAGCTGTTTCATTGGTCAACTCACTTATTTTCTTGGGGCCTCTGCTGCCTGATTTATAAATAAGAAGTAACAGTTGACATACTGAGGGAATATGTAAGATACTACAAAGATAAGTGAGAATGAAAAGCATTAAAAGATACATAAAGGCATGTCTATTATTAGAACACTGTTTAATTCTTTACATTTAACATATTTCCACACAGCCTTTGACATCATGTCACCCCTACTACATACTCATGAGGAATGAATAGATATCAACTCATTTCAGAATTCAGCAAAGAGCCTCATAAAGCTGGCTTGCTCAAGATCAAACAGCTAGAAAGAAACCAGTCCTGTGACTCCTAATACAATGCTTTTTAGATCACACTGTGCTGATCTTCTTTCACATGGTTTAAATCCCTGGTTTACTCTTCAGTGGAGATGGTTAAAATAACCTGGTCTATCTGTTACATTTAAGAGCTTCAAAGCAAGCAACCAAGAAATCTACTACATAACCTCAAAATTTTAAACTCTTGTTTCAATGAGCTTTCAGAACTATTTCTGAAAACAGTTTCTTTATAAAGAAAATCATTCAGTGACCCATTAACAATTACGTGATATAAGTACAAGAATATAAGTTCTAGAGGCCTGTTAAAACTTTGCAGTTAAAACATGTAACTTTAAGAAAATAAATAAGAAAAGGCAGAAAAACTACATACAAGTTGACCATAAAAACAAAGAATAAAGTGCCACATATTACTGGACAATGGAGTTTGCCACTAGCAATAAAGTAACTGTCAAATTTAAAGTTATTGACTCTTCAAATACTTACTATAAAAGAAAAATTGTCAAAAGGGAAAAAATCCAAAGCATTTCAAGACAATTCATCAGTGGAACTTAGCTTAATTCTTTCAGCTAAAGAATAAAAACATTTTTAATATGGAAGTGGTACTATAGTATTTAAGTTATACTGATTTATTTGATGATCAATCTGAATTTGTACTCTTAAAAATACTGTCTTTTACGGATAAGATTCCTCAAGGGAGGAACAACCTAAGACAGGCACAGTCGTAGGGGGGCCATCAGGTGAGAAATTGGGGATCAACAGTGGTGAGGCTTAGAACCTCACCCCCCCTGTTTTGAGAGAAATCTTCTGCATCCATGGATGTTTTAATGCCCTTGTCTAGCTTGGATTAACACATAGTCTACAGGCACACACCTGATCATCTACATTTGCTCTCTTACAACACTAAACTATGTTTTCTACCTTTATCTTGCATCTACCTACCACTTCAGCATTTTATTAAAAATAAAAATAATAATAATAATAATAAAGGGAGAAATGTGGGATCCACATATAAATCAAGTATAAAAATCAAACAAAAAAAAAGAGAAAATGGTATTTGGAAACCATAATCTAAGTATTAGGAGTGCTCATTGCTGGTGAGTTGTTCACCATTTTTTTTTTGTGCTTTTCAGTGGGCAGACAGGCAACATGTTTCATTTTATTTAATTTTTAAACAAAATACATCATGAATTCATACTACTTCTAAATCAAATTCAGGACTGCAAGGTTTTTATTGAAATTCATACAGCTTACAACTACATCTCCTTTCTCTGCTGCAAAAACTCCTAATCCTCAATGATACCAACATAATTCCTCATTTGCTTTGTTTCACTATATAGACACAATAGCCTGAGAATGACAAGACCAACACTTCACCAGCAACGTTACTACTGAATTTAATTTTAATTTTAAAAATGTACAGCCAAATGCCTGTATTTTAAAGTCACTTGAGATAGTTTCCCTTTCTGTGATTATGCACGAACTAGACACACATTTAGGTTCATTTGTCTCATTTCACTTCCAGTTTTTAGAGATTGCATTTTTATACTTAAGTAAAATATTTACATGTTTCCAAAATAAAGTCTACTACACAAGGAATATGCAAAGCAGTTTAACTTCTAGCTTTGGCACCTTCCATCCACTATTACGTTTAACTCTAAGAAGCAAGTACTATTACTGTTTATTCCATAGATGGGGAAAAATGAGGCTTTGATAGCTTATTATTAACCTGAGGTCACACAGCTAGTAGGAGAAAGAACTAGGGTTGGCACTTGGGTTTCCAGAAACCTCCAGAAGGTGGATTTTTTCCTATCTTATTCTCTATTGCATCTCCACCATCTATTTAGTACAAAAAACAGTTGGTGAATCAATAAACAAAAGGTGGATTGAAAAAAAAAATACTGTCTTTTAATACTTAAGACATTTTAATTCCTAGAAGAAAGATGACAAATTACCTACCAGATTTTTCTTTTGCTTTGGTAGGCTAACTGGTTCAAAAACAGAGATAACATTTCCATAGGATGCTGCAATCTTAGAAAAAAGAAAGAAAAGTTATGGATACATTAACTTACTTTGAATTTAGAAAGAAAAATAAATAAATACTATAACTTAAAATATGTGCAAACACAATTTCATTCACCAGTAATTAAGAATGTCAGTTTTAGAAACAAATACCATCCAGGTCAGAATCGCAATCTGTCATTCACTGTGTAACTATCAAGTTAATTTCTCTGAGCTTTATCTATATTTATAATGTGTAATACTATATTTCTAACAGATTTTGAGGAGTGAAATAGCATTTGTAAAACATCTAATATATAATTATCTGTAAGATGCACAATAAATGTTAACTCCCTTCCTACCAGAAGAAAATGTATTGATGTATTCTCTGCCAAGTTTAGAATCTAAAATGACTTAAAAATCAGTTTTTAGGTTATCTGTTCTCAAAATTCAAAATTCTGTCAGTGTATACTTAATTTTTACAAAATAAAATGTAGATCTACTGCTGTGTGAAGTTTCTCAATATCCATTTTATTTGGGTATCTTTAAAATTAACTCTTTAAATCAAGGGTGCATAACCCTTCCTGGCTCAGTTTTACTTGAGTGAGTCACAAATGAACATCAAGATTTCAGAATTCAGATGAAAAGAATGAATGAATCAGGGGTAAAAATAGCATAATCTAGTGAATAGGAGGTAAAGAATGAGGATGTAACATAGATGAGGAAAGAAACTACAATGGATATTTTTAACCATTCTGAGGCGTTCTTAGGATGTAGAAATCATCTGCACTGAGCTCGTCTGGGAGTGAGTGTTTAGTTTGGGCCTTTAAGTTTGGGTAGGATTTCAAAGGACAGTGAATATTTAAGTTCAGAAACAGGGCATAATATGAACACAAGTGTAAAGATTAAGAGGCAATGTATATTTGAAGGTAACTGACCACCAGCCCAGCTAGAAGAGAATGTCCTATAGCAAAGCAATGAACACAAGGTCAAAAAGGCAGGTTTGGGTTTGAGCCAGGCTGTACAAGGCCTCATGCCAAGGAGAATAATTTGAACTTTTCTAAGGTAATAGGAAGCAAATGAATAACAAGACAAATTCATATGAATTTTCTCAGGAAAATTAATATGGTAGTACTACAAAATAAAAACAGTGATGATAAAACACTGTTGCCTATGGTATCAAGAAGCATTTCCTTCTTAAAGGCAAGCAAAAGTACCAGGTGCCAGAACCTGCATGTTTTCTCCCGAATGCCCTAAGGAGAATCATTTAATTATACCGATACCTGTGAAACAAAGGAAACCTTCCTTTACTAGAATCATTACAAAACCAAATGACCTCTTCATTCTAACTTAGTTTAGTATATAATCTAATTTATCACAAAAAGGTAACTCATACTGTAAATTATTAAAATCAGATTTCTAACATTAACCAGCTCTATGTAAGTCTAAATGATGTAAGCAAGATTTCACATATAATGACCAGGTTACACCCAGAGCTAGAAGATCAAACAAACACAAAGAGGAGAAGGGGAAAAAAACGTTTCAATAACTTTTGGCAAGAGAGGAAAAAAGATGGCGGAGAGAAAAGTGTGGCAGAAATCTCCTCCAAAAACCACATATATTTTGAAAATACAGCAAATACAACTATTCCTAAAAAAGTGACCAGAAGTAAGAGTGCACCAGCCAGTCTACATCTGAGAGAAGGGAACAACTCACGGAAAAGGGTAAAAAAGCAGAGACCCAGGGGAATCCAACCACTCCCCCACCCCAGCTCACCAGCAGGAGGAAGAGAATCAGAGCAGAGAGGGAATGGAAGCACAGGACTGCTAAATATCCAGCCCTAGAAATCTACTCCAGGAGCACAGACCCACACTGCATGGTGCTCTGGAGATTGGAGGGGCTGAAAACCAAAGTCAGAGACTGAGACTACAAACAGGTTCCCACAACCATCTGCCCTAGGACAAAAGAAAAGCAGGTGCTTTGAAAGACTTCGCCAGAGTGAGAGGGCTGCTAAAAAGGCAAGGGTTTAGGAGAAGAAACAGGTGGACAGAACTGTCCTAGCACACTCAACCCAGCAGGTTGGGAACTTTCAAGAGCCTCAGGTGCTCCATCCCCTGGTGGGCAATGAAGCCCCGAGGTCCCTCAACCACGATGAGCAACCTGACACTTCTTCCCCTGCCGCTGGCACCTGAGTGCAAACCTGCTGTCCCCGCCATGGCTGCAATCAGCTAGAGGGAAGCCCCGCCTACAACAACTACACAGCTTAACGCAGAGGCTTCTCACTGCAGTTGGTTAACTGGGCCTGACAGCAGAGACAGGCATGGTAACCAGGAAGCACAGGTTAACTGGGCCTGACAGCAGAGACAGGCATGGTAACCAGGAAGCACAAAAGGGCTTTCCCTCCCAGCTAACACCCATGATGCTCACCTGTGACCCACGCCATCGCCTAGGCCATCCTGAGGGCTGCCCTCCACACCACAAGTAGGGGATTAAACCAGAGGTCGCTCCCTGCACCCAGCTAACAGGCCCAGACAGCAGAGACAGGCGAGGGACTCAGACCAAGAAGGAGGAAGTTACTTTGTCCTCCCAGCAGACACCTGTGCCTCTCACCTGCAAGCACTCCCATCGTTCCAGGACTATGAAAAGGCAGAAGAACCTTGTTCAATCCAAAATCACTCAAACACCAGAAAGAGGGCTTACTGAAACTGAAATTACCAATCTTCCTAAAAACAATTCAAAAAAGAAGTCATAGGCATGGTAATGGAGCTACAGAAAAATATTCCCTAGCTAAGGGACGAATTCAGGAGGGATACAGATACCTTAAAAAACACAGTAACTGAAATAAAAAAACAATGGAGCGATTTAAAAGAAGACTAGATGAGGTAGAGAAAACGGTGAATGTTAAACAAATTAGAGAACAGGAATATAAAGAAGCTGAGGCAGAGACAGAAAAAAGGATCTCTAGGAATGAAAGAATATTGAGAGAACTGTGTGGCCAATCCAAACAGAACAATATTTGTATTATAGGGGTAACAGAAGAAGACAAGAGAGGAAAAGGGATAGAAAGTGTCTTTGAAGAAACAATTCCTGAAAACTTCCACAATCTGGAGAAGGAAACAGTCTCTCAGGACATGGAAGACCACAGATCTCCCAAAACAAGGGACCCCAAGGAAGACAACACCAAGACATATAATAATTAAAATGGCAAAGATCAAGGACAAGGACAGAGTATTAAAAGCAGCCAGAGAGAGAAAAAAGATCACTTACAAAGGAAAACCCATTTGGCTATCATTAGATTTCTCAGTCAGAAACCTTACAGGCCAGAAGGGAGTGGCATGATATATTCAATGCAATGAAACAGAAGGGCCTCGAACCAGGAATACTCTACCCAGCAAGATAACCATTTAAATTACAAGGAGGGATTAAACAATTCCCAGATAAGCAAAAGTTGAGGGAATTTACCTCCCACAAACCATCTCTACAGTGTATATTAAAGGGACTGCTCTAGATGGAAGTGTTCCTAAGGCTAAATAGCTGTCACCAGAGAAAATAAAACAACAGAAAAGGATGTAGACCAATTAACTACTAATCAAATGCAAAATTAAATCAGGAACCCACAAGTTAGTCAAGGGATACACAAAGAGTGCAGAATATGACACCTAACATAATGAGAAAATGAGGAAGAAAAAGAAGTGGGGGGGGAGGTAAGAATCTTCAGATTGTATTTATAATAGCATAATAAGTGAGTTAAGGTAGACTGCTAGATAGTAAAGAATATGTCATTGAACCTTTGGTAACCATGAATACAGACACTGCGATAACAATAAGTACATACCTATCGATAATCACCCTAAATGTAAATGGACTGAATGCACCAATCAAAAGACATGGAGTTACAGAACAGATAAAACAGCAAGACCCATCTGTAGGCTGCCTATAAGAGACTCACTTCAAACCCAGACATACACAGACTAAAAGTTAAGGGATGGAAAAAGGTATTTCATGCAACTAATAGGGAGAAAAAAGCAGGCACTGCAGTACTTATATCAGAAAAAATAGGCTTCAAAATAAAGACAATAACAAGAGACAAGGATATTACATACTGATAAGGGGGTCAATTCAACAAGAAGACATAACCATTGTAAATATCTATGCACCCAACATAGAAGTACCTAAATATGTACAATAAATACTAAAAGAATTAAAAGGGGAAAGAGAACATAATGTATTCATTTTAGGAGACTGCAACACACCACCCACTCCAAAGGACAGATCAACCAGACAGAAAATAAGTAAGGAGACAGAGACACTGAACAACGCATTAGGACACATGGACCTAACAGGTATCTACAGAACACTTCACCCAAAGCAGCAGGATACACATTCCTCTCAAGTGCACATGGAACATTTCCCAGAAGAGATCATATAGTAGGCCACAAAAAGAGCCTCAGCAAATTTTAAAAGACTGAAATTGTACCAAACAACTTTTCAGATCACAAAGGTATGAAACTAGAAATAAATTGTACAAAGAAAATAAGAAAGCTCACAAACACATTGAGGCGTAAAAACATGCTCCTAAATAATCAATAGATCAATGACCAAATTAAAACAGAGATCAAGGAAAACAAGAGCACAATATGTGGGATGCAGCAAAGGCAGTTCTTAGAGGAAAGTACACAGCAATGCAGGCCTATTTGAAGAAGGAAAAACAATCCCAAATGAACAGTCTAAATTCACAATTACTGAAACTGGAAAAAGAACAAATGAGGCCCAAAGTCAGTAAGGCCCAAGGAGGGATAAAATAAAGATCAAAGAAGAAACAAATAAAATTGAGAAGAATAAAATAACAGAACAAATTAATGAAACCAAGAGCTAGTTTTTTGAGAAAATAAACAAAATAGATAAACCCCTAGCAAGACATATCAAGAAAAAAAGAGAATCTAAACACATAAACAGAATCAGAAATGAGAAAGGAAAAATCACTATGGACACCATAGAAATACAAAGAATTATTAGAAAACACTATGAAAAATTATATGCTAACAAACTAGATAACCTAGAAGAAATGGACAACTTTCTGGAAAAATACAAACTTCAAAGGCTGACCCAGGAAAAAACAGAATATCTAAACAGACCAATTACCAGCAACGAAACTGAATCACTAATCAAAAACTAAGTGAGAACAAAACCCCCATACCAGATAGGTTTACTGCTGAACTTTACCAGACATTTAGAGAAGACATAATATCCATTCTCCTTAAAGTTTTCCAAAAAATAGAAGAGGAGGAAATACTTCCAAACTCATTCTTTAAAGCCAGCATCACTCTAATACCAAAACCAGGCAAAGACACCACAAAAAAAGAAAACTACAGACAAATATCCATCATGAACATAAATGCAAAAATACTCAACAAAGTATCAGCAAATCAAATTCAAAAATACATCAAGAGGATCATATACCATGATCAAATGGGATTCATCCCAGGGATGCAAGAATGGTACTACATTCTAAAGTCTATCAACATCATCTACTACATCAATAAAAAGAAGGACAAAAATCACATGATCATCTCCATACATGCTGAAAAAGCATTCGACAAAATTCAACATCCATTCATGATAAAAACTCTCAACAAAATGGGTACAGAGAGCAAGTACCTCAACATAATAAAGGCCATATGTGACAAACCCACAGCCAGCATCATACTTAACAGTGAAAAGCTGAAAGCTTTTCCTTTAAGATCAGAACAAGACAAGGATGCCCACTCTCCCCACTTTTATTCAACATAATTCTGGAGGTCCTAGCGATGGCAATCAGAGAACACAAAGAAATAGGAGGCATCGAATTGGTAAGGAAGAAGTTAAATTGTCCCTGTTTGCAGATGACATGATATTGTAAATAAAAAATCCTGAAGAATCCACTCTAAATCTATTAGATCTAATAACTGAATTCAGCAAAGTTGCAGGACACAAAACTAATACACAGAAATCTGGTGCACTCTTATACACTAAAGATGAACTAGCAGAAAGATAAATCAGGAAAACAATTCCATTCACAACTGCATGGAAAAGAATAAAACACGTAGGAATAATCCTAACCAAGGAAGTGAAAGACCTATAACCTGAAAACTACAAGATACTCTTAAGAGAAATTAAACAGACCAATTATCAGCAATGAAATTGAATCACTAATCAAAAACTAACTGAGAACAAAACCCCCATACCAGATAGGTTTACTGTTGAATTTTACCAGACATTTAGAAAGGATATAATACACATTCTCCTTAAAGTTTACCAAAAAATAGAAGAGAAGGAAATACTTTCAAACTCATTCTTTGAAGCTAGCATCACTATAAATGGAAATACATCAAATGCTCTTGGGTAGGAAGAAATTACTATTGCCAAAAAGGCCATCCAGCCTAAAGCAATCTACAGATTCAATATAATCTCACCAACAGCATTCTTCAACAAACTGTAATAAATATTTCTAAAATTCATATGGAAGCATAAAAGACCCTGAATACCAAAACAATCCTGAGAAGGAAGAATAAAGCAGGGAGGGAGGGGAAGGGGATTATGCTCTCCAATGTCAGGACAATTTGGTACTGGCAGAAGAACAGATCCATAAATCAGTGAAACAGAATATATAGAGAGCCCAGATATAAACCCACACATATATGGCCAATTAATATATGATAAAGGAGCCATGGACATAGAATGGGGAAATAACAGTCTCTTCAACAGCTAGTGTGCAAAACTGGACAGCTTCATGTAAGAGAATGAAACTGGATTACAGGCTAACTCCATACAGAAAAGTAAACTCGAAATGGATCAAAGGAGAGAATGTAAGTCATGAAATCATAGAACTCTTAGAAGAAAACATAGGCAAAACTATCTTGATTATAAACATGAGCAGCTTTTTCATGAACATATCTCCTCGGGCAAGGGAAACAAAAGCAAAAATGAACAAGTGGGACTAAATCAAGCTAAAAAGCTTCCTTCTGTACAGCAAAGGACACATCAGTAGAACAAAAAGGCATCCTACAGGGTGGGAGAATATATTCATAAATGACATATCCAATAAAGGGTTGACATCCAAAATATAAAAAGAGCTCACCCACCTCAACAATGAAAAAGCAAATAACCCAATTAAAAAATGGGCAGAGGATCCAAACAGACACTTTTCCAGAGAAGAAATTCAGATGGCCAACAGGCACATGAAAAGATGCTCCACATCGCCAATCACGAGGGAAATGTAAATTACAGCCTGACGCTTCTTCCGCCCCACCCCCACTGTTACCTGAGCACAAACCTGCTGTCCCCGCCATTGCTGCAACCAGCCGGAGGGCAGCCCTGCCTACAACAACTACACAGCTTCACACAGAGGATTCTCCCTGCACTCAGTTAAATGGCTCTGACAGCAGAGACAGACATGGCAAAGACCAGGAAGCACAAAAGAGCTTTCCCTTCCAACCCTCACAATGAGATATCACCTCATACTAGTTAGGATGGCCAACATCCAAAAGACAAACAGCAAATGCTGGCGAGGATGTGGAGAAAGGGGAACCCTCCTACACTGTTGATGGGAATGTAAATTAGTTCAACCACTGTGGAAAGCAGTATGAAGGTTTCTCAAAAAACTCAAAATAGAAATACCACTTGACCCAGGAATTCCACTCCTAGGAATTTACCCTAAGAAAACAGGATCACGGATTCAAAAAGACATATGCATCCCTTGTTTATCATAGAACTATTTACAATAGCCAAGAAATGGAATCAACCTGTGTCCATCAGTAGATGAGTGGATAAAGAAGATATGGTACATATACACAATGGAATACTATTCAGCCATAAGAAGAAAACAAATTCTACCATTTGCAACAACATGGACGGAGCTAAAGGGTATTATGCTCAGCGAAATAAGCCAGGCATTGAAAGACAGGTACCAAATGATTTCACTCATCTGTGGAGTATAACAACAAAGCAAAATCTGAAGGAAGAAAACAGCAGCAGACTCACAGAACCCAAGAATGGACTAACAGTTACCAAAGGGAAAGGGACTAGGGAGGGTGGGTGGAAAGGGAGGGATAAGGGGAAAACATTATTAGCACACATAATATAGGGGGTGGCATGGAGAAGGAACTGTAGCACAGAGAAGACAAGGAGTGATTCTATAGCATCTTACTATGCTGATGGACAGTGACTGTAATAGGGTATGTGGTGGGGACTTGATAACAGGGGAATGTAGTAACCACAATGTGGCTCATGTGAAACCTGAGCACAAGATTGTATATCAATGATACCTTCATAAATAAATTAATTAATTAATTTTAAAAAAAACTTTTGGCACTCCATAATAAAGATCATTGTATTATAGTGATAATGAAAGGCATGAACAAAAGACAGATAGATGACAGACACTTCTAACTATATTAAAGGGAAGGGACACAAATATAACGAAAGAACAGCAGTCCAACTAGTAAGTAAAGATTGCAAGAGCTAAAACTTTCTTTACTGAGTATTTTTAAACTAGGTCCTAGGAGCTAACTTTTCAGACAGGCAGGTTTATCAGAAAATTGGATTTTCAAAAAGGGTTTGAGCTCAATTTGAATCCTGACACAGAATATTCTGGTGGAATCATTTAGTTAAACAATATATTCAAACATCTAGCAAAAAAACTAAATCACTTTGCAAGTTTGGCGCTGGCTATCTATAACTAAACCTGGGCCTGTCCACCTATAACTACATGATGCTGTATTAAGTTGCACTGCATTGCCCACAGGTTGTGCTCCCCCAGCTCTGGCGCCACCTGGGAGTGTGCCTGACCTGACACAGAACCTCATGGGATGATGCCCAACCTTACGAAGGACCACACAGGATGGTGCCGGACGGGATACAGAATCATATGTCCTGCTCCTTGTGTTGCTGTTGCTGTTTTTCAAGGTCACTTGTTACTTTTCATATACAGACAAGTCCAGATAAAACTTTTCACTTTTCTTACAGGTATGAAGTAAATTAATAAAAAATTACAAGGTTTAGAAGACTTTATCTTCATTTTAGCACAAAATTTACCCAGCAGTTATACAGAGACAACTGTTTACTGAGAAAGAATAACTCTAGCAAATGATTTGTCCTTCAGTTTATTTGTATATTGAAGATTTACTGAAACTCCTTTCCCTCAATCCAATCCATTTTTAAATAACTAAACTTTAGATTTGTTCTACACTTAATAACTGCTATAATTCTTGGTCAACTCATAGAGAAGATTATACTATATTTCAAAATTACATAATAACATAATTCCTAACAATTTAAAGATACACCTGAGAGAGTTAGGAAATTTGCTCTCTACTCTGAATCTTAGAGAGTCAAAGAAATTTGTAGCTACATTGTCTACAAAGGAAATGTCTAAATAGGAAATACTTACTTTAGAAACTATCCTAACAAAAACCAAACTCATATTTCACATTACCAGAGAATTACAAACCTTGCCTTGTTGCACTGAACAGTCTACACATCCCACTTGAATATTTCCATGTTTAGCTCCTGGGATTATTTGTAATCTTTCAAAATCACTTCCCAGGATGACAATGTCACATCCTGATGCATAAGCCTAAAAAAACAAAACAAACAAAATAAAAATGATAAAATTGTCAAGAAATTATTTACTACAACAGTACTGGCATTAAATATTATGTTTTAAAATAATAATTTTAAATACTATTTTGTTTTTAAAATTTATATTGAGAATATTTCCATTATCTCTCATATACAGTTCTACCAGCCAATTTGGTCAATCTTACCTGTTATACCAGTTCTGTTCACTTCTTCCATCTCCACTGAATGCTGAACATTGTCTAAGCTGCCATTCTCTCTCTACTGCAAAACTGTTAATAGTCTGTTTCTGTTCTTGATTCCCTCTAACTCCCATCCACACAAAGACAGGATTGATCTCCAAATAATTTTCTCTGCTTAAACCCCTTGATTTATTTTCCCCACTGCACTTGGAATAAAATCTCACCTCCTTATCATAGTCAATGCCCACATGATTGTATTCTCAAACCCATCTCAAGGTACTCTTCCCTTTCCTCAACTGGTTGTTATCCCTATATTGCCCTATTTCTGTTCTTTTGGCATATCAATCTTTTTCCAACACAAGTGGTTTCTCTACCTTTTATCTTCCTGGTCTTTGTCTAGCTGGCCACTTGAATATTTGAGTCCTGGTTCCTGATGATTTTCTTTCTCTCTCTCTCTCTCTCTCTCTCTCTCTCTCTCTCTCTCTCTCATTACTTTCTATCACATTACTATTTCTTTTTCTTCACAGTACATAATTATTTGTAAATAAAGGCATACCTTGTTTTATTATACTTCATTTTATTGTACTTCACAGATATTGCATTTTTTACAATTTAAAGGCTTATGGCAACCCTACATCGACTGAGTCTACTGGCATCATTCTTCCAACAGCATTTGCTCACTTTGTATCTCTGCGTCACATTTCGCTAATTTTTGCAAGATTTCAAAATTTTCATTACTATTATACTTGTTACAGTGATTTGTGATCAGTGATTTTTGATATTACTACTGTAATTATTTTGGGGTGCCACAAACTGTGCCCATATAAGATAGCAAACTTAATCAATAAATGTTGTATATCTTCTGACTGCTTCATTGACCAGTCATTCCCCCAACTCTCTCCCTCTTCTTGGACCTCCCTATTCCCTGAGACACACCAATATTGAAATTAGGCCAATTAATAAGCCTAGAACAGTCACTGGGTGTTCAAGTGAAAGGGAGACTTGCACAGCCCTCACTTTAAATCAAAAGCTAGATGATTAACCCTAGTGAGGAAGGTATGTTGAAAGCCAAGACAGGCCAAAACCTAGGTCTTGCACCAGTTAGCAAAGTTGTGAAGGCAAAGGAACAGTTCTTGAAGGAAATTAAATGTGCTGTTCTAGTGCACACATAAAATGATATGAAAGAGAACAGCCTTATTGCTGACATATAGAAGTTTAAGTAGTCTGGAGAGAAAAATCAAACTAGCTACAACACTCCCTTAAGCCAAAGCCTAATCTGGACAATAACTCTCTTCAGTTCTATGAGACTGAGAGAGGAGACGAAGCTGCAGAAGAAAAGTTTGAAGGTAGCAGAGTTTGGTTCCTAAGGTTTACGGATAGAAGCCATCTCCACAACATAAAAGTACAAGGTAAAGGGATCTGGGAAGATGGCGGCGAGAGTAGGGCAGCTGAAATCTCCTCCCAAAACCATATATATATTTTAAAATACAACAAATAAAACTATGCCTAACAGAGAGACCAGAGGATATAGTACAACAGCCAGGCTACATCTACATCTGCGAGAACTCGGCATCTCACAAAGGGGGTAAGATACAAGCCGCGGCACAGAGGGAACCGAGTGCTCACCCCACCCACAGCTTCCTGGCAGGAGGAGAGGAGTTGGAGCAGGGGTGGAAGCGCAGGACTGCTGAATACCCAGCCCTAGTGATCTGCACTGGGAGTGCAGACACACTTTGCATGGTGCGCTGGATATCAGGGAAACAGAGAAGTAAAATCTGCGAGCGGGTCCCTGCAGCCGGATCCCTGGGACAAAAGAAAAGTGAGTACTTTTTCAAAGTCTTAAAGTGACAGGGGCGTCACAGCTGGACGGAATCGCCCCAGCACACTCAGCCCAGCAGCTGGGAATCCCAGGGAACCTCAGGTGCCCTAACCCCCTGGGTGGCAACGCAGCTCTGAAGCCCCGCACAGGGATTAAACAGCCTGCCGTTCATTGCACTTCTCGCGTGGACCTGGCGGAGCAGCCTAGGAGTGGCCACGTCCACAGCAGCTGCCCAGAGCCTCCTACTGGCACGCAGCATCCCGGGCCAGTACCGGGACTGCTGGTGCACGCAGAGGAAGCTGGGACAGAGCACAAAGGGGCACTATGCACGCAGGAGAGCACACCGGGTGCACCTGCCTCCCCCCTCAGGGCTCTGGGCTGCCACGATGGCTGCTCCCAATGTGCAGAGAACTGACACAGGCATCAGGGAGGGGCATGGCGACCAGCAAGCAGGAAAGGACTTTGCTCTCCCAGCTGACACACATGCTACCTGCTTACAGCTACCTCTATCACCATGAAAACACAGAAGAATTTGGTCCAGTCCAGAATTACCCAGACAACACCTGAAAGAGAGCCTGGGGAGATAGATTTAACCAATCTCCCCTACAAAGACTTCAAAACAAAGGTCATAACCATGCTGATGGATCTGCAGAGAAATACACAAGAGTTAAAGGATCAAGTTGGGAGGGAGAATACAGAAATAAAACAATCACTGGAAGGACTGAAGAGCAGACTGGATGAGGTGCAAGAGGCCATTAATGGAATAGAAATCAGAGAACAGGAACACAGAGAAGCTGAGGCAGAGAGAGATAAAAGGATCTCCAGGAATGAAACAATATTAAGAGAACTCTGTGACTAATCCAAATGGAACAATATTCACATTATAGGGGTACCAGAAGAAGAGGAGACAGAAAAAGGGTTAGAAAGTGTCTCTGAAGAAATAATTGCTGAAAACTTCCCCAAACCGGGGGAGGAAATAGTCTCTCAGACCATGGAGGACCACAGAACTCCCAACACAAGGGACCCAAGGAGGACAATACCAAGACACATAATAATTAAAATAGCAAAGATCAAAGACAAGGACAAAGTATTAAAGGCAGAAAGAGAGAGAAAAAAGGTCACCTACAAAGGAAAACCCGTCAGGCTATCATCAGACTTCTCAACAGAAACCATACAGGCCAGAAGAGAATGGCACGATATATGTAATGCAATATAACAGAAGGGACTTGAACCAAGAATACTGTACCCAGCATGATTATCATTTAAATATGAAGGAGGGATTAAACAATTCCAGGACAAGCAGAACTTGAGGGAATTTGTCTCACAAAAAACCACCTCTACAGGGTATTTTAGAGGAACTGCTCCAGATGGAAGCACTCCTAAAGCTAAATATATGTCACCAGAGAAAATAAAATCATAACAAAGAAAGCAGACCAACCAAATACTAACTAAAGCCAAAAATAAAATCAACTACTCACAAAAGCAGTCAAAGGAAACAAAAAAACACAGAATAAAACATCTAACATAAAAATTATGGAGGAGGAGGAATAACAAGAGAGAGAAATAAAGAATCATCAGACTGTGCTTATAATAGCTTAATAAGTGAGTTAAGTTAGACAGTTACATAGTAAAAAAGCTAACCTTGAACCTTTGGTAACCACAAATCTAAAGCCTGCAATGGCAGTAAGTACATATCTTTCAATAATCACCCTAAATACAAATGGACTGAATGTACCAATCAAAAGACACACAGTAACAGAATGGATAAAAAAGCATGACCCATCTATATGCTGCTTACAAGAGACTCACCTAAAACCCAAAGACATACACAGACTAAAAGTCAAGGGATGGAAAAAGATATTTCATGCAAACAGCAGGGAGAAAAAAGCAGGTATAGCAGACTGGTATCAGACAAAATAGACTTCAAAAATAGAAAGTAACAAGAGATAAAGAAGGACATTACATAATGATAAAGGGGTCAGGCCAACAAGAGGATATAACCATTATAAATATATATACACCCAATACAGGAGCTCCAACATATGTGAAAGAAATACTAACAGAATTAAAGGAGGAAATAGAATGCAATGCATTTGTTCTAGGAGACTTTAACACACCACTCACTCCAAAGGACAGATCCACCAGACAGAAAATAGGTAAGGACACAGAGGCATGAATAACACAGTACAACAGATGGACTTAACAGACATCCACAGAACTCTACACCCAAACGCAGCAGGATTCACATTCTTCTCAAGTGCACATGGAACATTTCCCAGAAGAGACCACATACTAGGCCACAAAAAGAGCCTTGGTAAATTCAAAAAGATTGAAATTCTACGAACCAACTTCTCAGATGACAAAGGCATAAAACTACAAATAAATTGTACAAAGAAAACAAAAAGGCTCACAAACACATGGAGGCTTAACAACATGCTTCTAAATAATCAATGGATCAATGACCAAACTAAAACAGAGATCGAACAATATATGGAGACAAGTGACAACAACAGCATAAAGCCCCAACATCTGTGGGACACCGCGAAGGCAGTTCTAAGAGGAAAGATATAGCAATACAGGCCTATCTAAAGAAGGAAGAACATTCCCACATGAATACTATAAAGTCACAATTATTGAAACTGGAAAAATAACAACTAATGAGGCCCAAAGTCAGCAGAAAGAGGGACATAATAAAAATCAGAGAAGAAATGAATAAAATTGAGAACAACAAAATAATAGAAAAAAATCAATGAAACCAAGAGCTGCTTCTTTGAAAAAATAAACAAAACAGATAAGCCCTTGGCCAGACTTATTAAGAGAAAAAGAGAATCTACACACATGAACAGAATCAGAAATGAGAAAGGAAAACTCACGACAGACCCACAGAAATACAAAAAATTATTAGAGAATACTACAAAAATCTATACGCTAACAAGCTGCAAAACCTAGAAGAAATGGACAACTTCCTAGAAAAATACAACCTTCCAAGACTGACCA